GTAATATCAATATCGCAATATTAAGCACTGTTATCGAATATCGCAGGTTTTCCTAATATCGTGCAGCCCTAATTCACAGATAAAAAAAAGATGTGGGTTCAACTTTCATTTTGGAACAATTTTTCAAGCAAGGGAATGGAATTATCAGAGCCCCATGTTGAAATGACGCTATGCATTACGGGGCTCCCAGGGGCAGATTAGAGTTGGTCTCTCTCCGAGAATAATTATGAATTTAACAATGATTACTGCCTGATGACATTTTCCCACATCCGCAAAGCTCACTGGAAGGACACAAACCGAGGACAATATTTTCCTAATATAGTGTTTATTACTCAAGTAAGGGTAAAAAAGTATCTGATTAGAAGGCTACTTGAGTGCATTGTCTACAAAAATAAAGAAAAGCGTCTGGACTTCTTTGAGTTGCTTGAAGACATTTCACCTCTCATCCGAGAGGCTTCTTCAGTTCTAAGGTCAAATGGTGGAGAGTCCCAGATTTAAACCCAGTGGGAGTTTCCCCCCGAGGAGGGAACAAAAGACCCCCTGATGATCTTCTACATAAACACATTGAGGGTGGGTGTGGGTCCTATTCAGCCAGAGTTTCGGGTGAGCTCATTGTGAAACCTGGCCCCACCCTATCATGTGAATTCCTGAGGTCAGATGGCCCAGGATATGCGTGGGCGTTGAGGCATCTGGGAAGGGATCTCAAAACTGGATTATAGATGGCAGACAGTTGGTGCCGTAAACCACCGCCTCTGTTCAAAGATGGTTGCTCACAGTGGACATAAATGGCTTCCTTTACTCCTCTTTCAAACATCTGTCCTCTCTGTCCAAAATGTGAACGTTGGCATCCTCGAAAGAGTGACCTTTGTCCTTTAGATGCAAATGAACTGCTGAGTCCTGTCCCGTGGAGGTGGCTCCTCTATGTTGTGCCATGCGCTTGTGAAGTGGCTGTTTGGTTTCTCCGATGTAGAGGTCTGGGCATTCCTCGCTGCACTGTACAGCATACACCACATTGTTGAGTTTGTGTTTAGGAGTTTTGTCTTTCGGGTGAACCTTCACAGACATAGAAAAATAATAATTAACAAGAGTCTGCTTCTAGCCCTGCAGAAAGAGAAAAAAATGGGACACACAACAATACATCAGGAGCAAGCCATCACTGTGTTAACCTGATGATGAAATATAAAATCAACATTGTTTAACTGAACAATTACACGATAATAAATCATAGTGCATTTAGTGGTAACAACAGCCTTAAGACATGTGTTGAACGTGCCCAAGCCCATACTTTTGAGAGCACCATGTGAGCACCTGTGTGTGTACACGCACTTGTTTATGTAAGGTTTCTCTATAGGAGCGTCCAATAGAGAGTGTGAGGGACCACAGGTCTGCCCCCCAAAGATGCGTAGGAGACGGGGGGAGCTCCAAGTCCCAGAGATCCAGGCGCTGCCCCAGAACACAGGAACCCCAAGGAGACTGAAACCAGAAAGGCCCCCGCCCCCCTCGAGAGGCACAGAGGATCGCCCCGGGGGGCCACAACCAGCAGCCGGCAGAGTCCCTGGAGATATCAGCGGCAAGCCCACAGGCCCGCCTGCAGTCTCCGATCCCCTAGCCGGCCGGGCCCGGGACCCAACGACCCGGGACTCAGGGGCGACCACCCCCGCCGGGGACCCAGCAGAGCCCAGGGACCCAGACCCCACCAGGCAGCCACTGGGATCGACCAGGCAGGCGCCAAAGATCTTAAACCCCCTGACCCGGGAACCACGAACACTCAGGCAGACCAAGACACCACACCCCCACACCGGGTGTGGCAGGGGGAGGGGAGACGAAGATCTATATCATAAAAAGAAGTCCCAGGAGAAGAGAGGAGTCAAAGGCCCCACCTGACATATACAGTCATACACATACACAAACACAGTCACACACTCCCTCCCTCATGCTCACACATATACATACAACCCAAGACTTACAAAAATGCACACCGGACACCCACTCATGCTCCCCATACACACCCTATTCACTCTGGTCCCGGTACTGCTGCACATTGGGTACAACCATCACCGGTTACCAGAGTTTGACCCTTTCTGCTGGGGTGCTGATGAGCAGGCCCCCCGCCCAACGCTGAGCACAGCAACCCACCACCCCAGACCCCAACCAGACGGCCAGATCTCCCTCCTAGCCTCCAGCCCCAGGAAGCCAAGCAACAACAGAGGTGTGCTAAGACCCCTAGTCTCCCTCCGCCTGCTCCAATATAGTGTTAGTGTGTGTTGATGAGGTGTATTCCATGGCTGTGGTGAGCGGGCAGTGCGGGCATTGTCTGGCCTGTGCCAGCTGATGCCACCGCACCACCCCACTTGCACCCACAGCCGTCAGTGTCTAAGTGCAGTTTAAAATTGGAAGTGGGCACCGGCACTCGGGATGAGGCTGAGAAATCCCCCTGCCAAGTGCCGTTGAATGTGCTCACTCCCATGGCCCTAAGTGTGTCTGTGCGTGGAATGTCTTCGGTGGAAGTGTATAAGGTGCAAATAAAATTGGGGGGCAGGTTGCCACAGGAATGCGGAAATGGGGTCCATACCTGCACTTCCTGACTTGTTTCCCCCCCCCCCCCCCCCCCCCCCCCCCCAGGTCCTATGTGCATGTTTGTGTGATGATGTGATGGAGCAGGGGGAGGAAAATATGCGGGAATGGGGAGGAATGGCTGGTTGGGCCTAGCCCTCCAGGGATCCAGCTCCCCCACTGGCCCCAATAGCACCTCTGTTGTCAAACTGCCACCCAGGGCATGGAGACCCCAGCCCATCCTGCCAGGGCCCAAAGCAGCAGCATCGCAGAGCCCCACGGAGCCCGAGGGCACCAACCCAGCCCCACCCCAGCAGAATCAAATACCAATATTCAAATATTGGTATTTTAAAGACTGAAGGGGAGAAATGTAAACAAATAAACAACATAATTACAAAATAAATTTTAGGCAAAATTTAGACACAAACTGAAGACAATATTTTCCTGATATACAGGGTTTATTTAGTTGTCTGAAAATGTAACACGTTTAAAAAAAATGCTGCGATAATACCGAAAACCGTGATAATTTTGCTCACAATAACCGTGAGGTGATATTTTCACACTGTGACAACCCTTGCTCCAATTATAAGTCTTTGTGCCACAATGGGAAGTGGCCACCACCACCATTTTGACCGTGTCAAAGGTTCCGTCAAGCCCAGACAATTCCATAAAAGGGGCAAGAGGTGGGAGCTGAGGGTGAGGCTGTAAGGCTGGGATCAAACGACGACACCCGTCGAACTGAAGCAATGTAGCTACAACCTAACTCAGGAGGTGTGAGCTAAGCTAACGGAGGTAGCTACCTAGCTACAACTGGAGTTAACTGTGCACAACACCAGAGCTTCTGAGTCAGAGATACGCCGGGCTGACCGCTGGGTAAAACCGGGTGGAACACAGAGGTTTCCCGAGAGCTCCACAAGCCGGCAGCCCGCACGACAGACAAGCGCCGCTGCAATCTGAGATGCGCCGAGCTGCAGCCGAGGGGAGGGGACCATACCGATAGTCGGAACCCAGCTCCACCAACATGTCATATTTTCTAAAGTCCATTTTCTAAAGTGCAGCATTATGTTAAATGCACTGGGTTTTACCCTATTACATTTAAATGTCATGGTTAAACAGTACATGTTAAAATCTAAGTTCAGCTAGTGCAAGAGCGGCAGTGACCTAAAATACATAAATATAATTGTACTTACTGAAAAAAATGAAGGGGAGACTCCTTGGACGCTCTATTAGTGCAATTAATACCACAGCAAGTAATTTTGTTCAACAATTGCACAAATAATATCCAAACAAGAATACACAAACGGCACAACTAATGGTTCTAAGTTGAGAGACGGAAAATCGCGGAACAGTTTTCGGGCGAGGCCGAGGCTCAGACTGAGGCTTTTCTCCGAGCTAGATCTGTGGTCACGTGGGTCTGATGCTCATTAATTATACAGAATTTTAGGCCTTTAATACACTTAAACAGAAAAGTGAACAAAAATTCTCCCCCTCAGAGTTGTCATGAGTGTAAACTAGATCTATTAAACCTAAAACATGTTTTGGTACCAGGCTGTAAACATGTTTATTTCTGCTGTGAAATTGGTATTTTTAAAATTGGGAGTCAATGAGGATTTGCTCACTTCTGACACCAGCCCCCAGTGGATGAGGGTGGAACTGCAATTTATTTCATTTCCTGTTTTGCTTCATATCCAGACCTGAATTATGGGGGCTTGTTTTTTTCTTTGTTCGCTGTTCAAGCCGACATCCTTGATCTGCCTGACTGTGGTTTCAACAGAGGCCTCTCCTCTGTCTGATCAAAGATGTGTGACCAATAATCGTCATTCTTTTTTATTTTAACATCTCTTCTGAGTTTGGTTTCAATTCCTTTTATCGGGCACTTCCCTTTTCTTTCCATAGTTTGGTTTTCAGAGTTAGAACAAACACTGAAAATGATTGTTTGTCTGAAGGCATTCATTATGATCACAGTTATGGAGGCTTTGGTTTAATAGTGCTGTGTGCTCGTGCAATAAGTGAATGATTTTATTAACATACCATGATACCACTTAGATATCATCAGCTGTCTGAGCTGATTGGCTGATAACGGCCTGGTCTCAGATTGGTGGTGGCGAACACCCGTTCCCGGTGCTGTTCTGTTGTGATGATGGAGCTGATCCGGACCCAGGTCGGCCTCTAAAGCACGATGTAGTAAAATGAATTGTGTTTCAGTAGCTGAGCTAGTTGGACAAATAGCTCCTTTTATAAATTTTCGCTGCAAAGAATCAGCAAATTTCAAATGCACGAGGCTCCGGAGAGTGAGTTGCTTCATTCATTATGTACAGAAAGCCTGAGTATGCATGTGAAATGTCCTTTATGTTCTAATGAATGTTTAGCAGATGCATTCAGATTTAGGGTTTTGTTGCAAAAATATCTTCTTATTCCTCATCTAGTTCTTGTTTTTTGTCTTACAGGAAGTAGAAACAGAGCAGTACTACAGTTTCTTCCTGCCTGAGTTGAAAGAACAAGGATATGATGGGTTCTTCAGTCCAAAGTCACGAGCCAGAACCATGTCAGAGTCCGATCGTAAACACGTGGATGGCTGTGCGATTTTCTTCAAGACAGAAAAGTAAGTATGTGAAAAATGAGTCGAGGTTGTAATTGGCAGATAAAACAACTCTTTTCCAGCTTATAAAACATAAATAATAATTAGTTTGATTGTCAAAAAGCTTAAATAGTTTAGGAATAAAATGTTTGAATTAGAAACTGTTATTTAGTGTAGAATATTTGCTGGGATGTTTAAATGTAGATATTTGCCCTTTAAATACTCTGGATTTTCCCTTTTAGCTGCACATCAAAGAATGTGGTTGTTTTTCTATAGTCTTATCTACGAAAAGCATCAGATCACAGTTTTCCTGGTGATTTTGTGTTTCTGCCCAGGTTCGGCGCCGTGCAGAGGCACACCGTGGAGTTCAACCAGCTGGCCATGGCTAACTCCGAGGGCTCTGAGGCCATGTTGAACAGGGTGATGACGAAGGACAACATCGGGGTCGCTGTGCTGCTTGAGGTCCGCAAAGAAATCATGGAGATCTCCTGTAAGTGACAAATTCAGACACTGGCCTTCCAAAGCCAGCTATAGGTGGCATGTGATGCCCATCTAAGCTCTTTGTCCTGATTTTATTATTTTCAGCTGGGAAGTCACTCCACGGCATGGAGAAGCAGCTTCTTCTGGTAGCAAATGCCCACATGCACTGGGACCCAGAGTACTCAGATGTCAAGCTGGTCCAGACCATGATGTTCCTGTCAGAGGTGAAGAATATCGTAGACAAGGCCACGCGCAGCTTCAAGTTATCCTCCTCTGGTGAGACCAATGCCATTCCACTGGTGCTGTGTGCTGACCTCAACTCCCTGCCTGACTCTGGTAAGTCAACAAATAACAATGCAAGTCCTGACCTTCATACCGGTGGTGACTATTTGTGGACTGATGCTCTTTAATATGTTTCAAGCAGCCAAAATTGGCCTTTATGTTTTTTTTTTTTTTTTTTTTGTTAATTGTATGATTTGTTGATTCTAGCAGAGGTGTGAACTTGAGTCATAATTTTTTTTTTGTGATTTGGGATTTGACTTACGCTTGAACATTCAAACCATGCACACCATTGTTTTTCTTGCGAAATTTCCAATAAGTTTGATGTGTCACATGACCCCCTTCCTATTGAAAAAACAAAAGTTGAATCCAAGATGGCCGACTTCAAAATGGCCACCATGGTCACCACCCATCTTGAAAAGTTTGCCCCTTACATATACTAATGTGCCACAAACTGGATGTTAATATCACCAACCATTCCCATTTTATTAAGGTGTACCCTGTATGTAGACAGACGGGACGGATGCTATAAGATGGACAGACAGACAAGAAAGACAGACAGACGTCTACAACATGTCCTACATGCATAACCCAACACGATCTACATCTTACCTGATCCAGTAGGTGAAGCCCCCCACCACCTAGGCAGAAATAATCGGTACTTGCCATTAGGTCAGAAGTCCTGCCCCTATTCTCACTTGTGTAGCTCAAACCAGTTGCGGTGGAGGATGTTGTTGATTAACGTATCAAATAGTCTATAAAATTCAGAGAACAGCAATCTCGTACACGAGGACCCTTCGTGGTCTGCTAAAATAATTGTGATTTGTGGACGTCTTTGTGCAGATTGTCACGCCCGCACCTGTATGAATATCTCACCCATTGTCTCTTTTGTTAGACTGACAAATATCCGTTTAAAATATATACATATCGGCCGACCTTAGTGTGAACTGTGACAGTTAAGGATTTATAGAGAAAACAC